TGACGGCATGCTATACTATGACGTTTTTCCAGATTTTGACAACCTTCTATACAATGACGTTTGTCATGTTTTTTGAAAACGTACTATTCTTTAACGCTTTTTTCATTATTTTTGACGACATGCTATGCTATGATGTTTTTTAATATTTGATCACATATTATACCATGACTTTCTTTTAGCATTTTTTTAGAGCATAATATAAAATGCCTTTTTACATCACATTTTTATGACATGAGATTTTTTTTTTTTTTTTTTTTACATTTTTAGGCATTTCAATTTTTTCACTTTTCCAGTATATATTATAATTTGACTTTCAATTATTTTATTTTTCTTATTTTCTCTATTTTTTCATGTGATGAATATTTCTGTAATAAAGGCTCCCAATCAAAGAGTCACTTTGTGAGTTTTATTATCACATTTAAAGGTTCACACAATCAGTGTTCAGCAGAGTCTCAGACTGAGGTGGGCGTCTCCTTCCTTTTTTAGCACTTCAATACATTTGTGGTGAGGTCACCTGTGATGTCAGTGCATCAAACAAAGCAGACAGTCTGTCACTGGATATTTTGTACACAGAGTCCTGTCTTTGTTGGTTTGACACCATCATACTTGCTCAATCAGAACACTGAACACTTGGCTAATGAGAACATGCATGTTAGGACATCAGGTCACCCAAAGGTTAACGCTAGGTTACAGGCCTTCCTGTACAGGGGCACCAGGGGAAGGGCAGCATGGTGTCCACCATATGACCACACTGAGGAGATGTATGTGTAACATATCATCATAACCTGCAGGTACAGAAGTGGCTTTCTTACATGAACTGTGTCCAGGACCACATCCTGGAGCACAGAACTATTTCTGAAAGGATCCACAGGAAGTGTTAGTATGTTGTTGCGTGTATGAATATTAACAGTGCTGTCATGAGAGAGCTGCAGTGTCTCATTGTGTCCACTGGAGGGAGCTGTTCACTCTCTGGTCTCCTCCTCTTAAGTGTTTTCTCCCCTCTGCTGCTCTGAGGAGCGGCAGCACCAGAACTGACAAACTCTTCTTTGTGAATTTTGTGTTCTCCCCAGGCCTCCGTCAACAACAGCGTCTTTGGAACTGTGGGTTCAGATAAATAAATAAATAAATAAATAAATAAACAAATAAATAAATAAGTGGGTACAGAGCCAGGGTGATAGTCAGAAAAAAATGTTAAGAATACTCAAGAAGTGATAAAGTGGTAAATTTACGAGACAATTAAATCGTGTATTTACAAAAAAAAAAAACCTTGCATATTTTCTCTGAGATTAATGATGTCTTCTTGTGAGAAAGCAAATCTAAGGCTACTATCTCAAAGTTGTAAATTTAAAGACGTAAGTCTACAAGAAATATCTCTAATATTCGCTGAGGTTTAAAAGGTGTACTTAAAAGAAAAGTTAGGACACTTTCTCTGAAAATAAAGTTGTAAATTTACAAAAAAAATCTGGGATATTTTCTGACATGTGGTGAATTTATGTGAAATATGTCGGATATTCTCTGAGATCAAAGTAGGAAGGACGAAGGACACTTTCAGGGTTGAGACTGAGTGAAGACACACAACAGAGGACACTGGTTTTAAAGCTTTATTACAAAACGCAAGACAAAACATGTCAACTGGGTTTATTTCTATTGGCAAACACGACACAATGACGAACAACCTTCTATCTGCAGGTGAAGCTTCGCTGAAACCACGAACCGAAGAGAAAACAAACCAACACAACGTGGATCCAAAAACGGTGGACCAAAAGAGGAGAGCGGCAGCTTTAAGGCCCGAAACTGAGGAAACAAAAAACCAAAAGGATGAAGAGCAGGAGCAAGAAGAGGAGGAGAAGCAGGAGGAGGAGGAGGAGCAAGAGGAGGAGTAGGAACTTCTTCTTCTTAGTTTTTTTCTACGGGAGGTTCGTAGTGCGACAGTCTGCCGCCTACACACACGTATAAATAGGTCACCATTAAATTAAGTCAAATCCAATTCACACAGTAAAATGTTATTCACAAACTCAAAGTGTCCGCCGCCGTCAGACGGCTCGGCGGGCAGGAAACAGGAAGTGAAGGTTGGGGGGGGGGGGGGGCTTCAGGGTCTGGGGGTTTCACTTTGACTGAAGCTTCTCCGTCTGTCAGGGAGGAAGACGACGACGACAATGACGTCCGACAGGATCGAAACTTTCATGTCACTGATTAGTTTTTGTCCAAATGTCGTCAAAACTTCACATTTCAGTTTGTAAAAACGAGTGAGTGATGAAAACAGCGTTTTGTCTCCGGAAGTTTCTTCAGACGGAAGTTTGACGGCTTTTTGTCTCAGAATCGTTGATGATGATTCATGTACTTTGTGTTTAATAAACTCACTTGAAGGCTTTAACTTTGAAAATCTGGACGTCTGAGTCGTTTCCTGTGTGCTTGACGACGACAAGGCTAAACGATGAAGGTGGTGGCGGTGTTGCTACGGTAACGAGGGCAGCTCTGTAGTTTTAACTGGTGAGTCACATTTAAATATTTATACATTACAACAATGTTCCAAATTCATAAATAAGTAGTGCAGTTTCCCCGTCGACCTCCGCGACACGACTGCACACTGCAGATCGGTCTCCACACACGCACGCACACATGCACCACCACCAAAAAACTACAAATATGGCCGACGAGCTGCAGGTTATAGTCTTCATGCATGTGTTGAGGAACGCCAGCTCAGACCGATCAGCTCCGATTTCACATTTTAAAAGTATCAAAAGCTATAAACAGTTAACCAATCAGAGCTTCAGCCAATCAAAATCACTGTGATGAAAAAAAAAACATGGAGGAAGTGAGCGTTGATGTCAGAGAGGAACTTGGTCAGACCTGTGCGGAGGGTTAGCGATGACAAAACTAAGTCCAGATGATCAGCTGATCATATTTATTGTTATCATTATTATTATTATTATTATTATTGACGGAGCGTACTCAGCTGTCGACCAATAGGATTCAAAGACAGAGTGGCTCTGATCTGATTGGAGGAGCAGAGGGGCGGAGTTTGAGAGTTTGTCGTTAATAATCGTCTGCACGGTGGAAGCGACCGGCTGCTGTCTGAACCCACAGGTCTGTTCTTCATGGGACTCAGTTTCCCAGAATGCTCTGAGCTCTGACAGGTCCTGTAGCTCCCAGCTCTCTCCTCAGGTGGCTGATGGGAGATGGAGTGTATAGAGGGCAGAATGAAAGCAAACAGCGTCCGTGTGCAACCTGACAGGTGGAGGGTGTGGGGCACAGGGCATGGGGCGGGGCATGGGGCAGGGGGCGGGGCATGTGACAGGGGGCGGGGCATGGGGCAGGGGTAACACTTTAAATCTAATCCCATCCTTTAAGAGCAATTAGTTAACGGTCAGTTATGACCATATATGGAAATGACCATATGTGGAGATCCCCCCGTCATACGACCATATATGGATGTCCTGCTGCTATCTACACCAGAGAAGAATCAACCAGGTCCAGTTCCCAAAACCAGCAGCCCAGAATCCATCCCAACTGGTCCAGAACCTGTGGAGAACTGGTCCAGAACTTTTCCAAATTAGAACTTTTCCAGAACTGGCCCCAAACCAGTCCAGAACCAGTCAGCTCTGATTCAGAACCAACCCAGAACAGGTCCAGAACCAGTCCAGAGCCGGGTGACGTCACTCAGAGTCGGACTCCAGCGGAGCGGTCTCGTCTAAGACGACTCTCTTCCTGCGCTTGGCAGCGGCGGCTCGGGCCCGCTGCTCCTCCTCCAGGTGGGCCTTCTTGTGGCGGGAGAAGCTGGACGAGTGCATGAAGGTCTTGTTGCAGGCGGCGCAGGTGTAGGTCTTGGTCTTGGCGGCGGGGAGTCCGGCCTTCTGGTGGTGGTGCTGCTGTAGCTTCCCCCGCCCGCCACCATCCACCGCCCTGTGGGTCTGCTGGTGCCGTGCCAGGCTGGAGGCGTGGCTGAACCGCTTACCACACTGGCTGCAGCCGTGGCGACCAGCTCCTCCTCCGCCGCCATCCTCCTCAGAGGTGGCGGGGCCCCGTTTGGCAACCCGCCCCCCCCGGCGACGGCGATTCTTCTTGCAGAGGGTGTAGAAGTTGGGCTTGTCGCGGGAGCAGAGCTTGAGGCGGATCTTAAGGTCTGACGAGCTCTCGCCCAGGTTCTCCTTGCCAGGCGTGTAGTTGTCCAGCAGCTCCTTGACGTGGGTCACCTGGTGTTTGGACAGCTGCGTGGACGTCCTGAAGCTCATATCGCACTGCGGGCAGGCGTAGAACTTGTCTCCGCCCTGGCTCTGAATGACGGCAGCTGCCACATGCTGCTGCTGCTGCTGCCTCTTGGTCTTCTTGTTCTTGCTGCCAGCCTTCAGCGAGTGGCGCAGGGCGGCCATGTTGGGGCTGAGCGCCACATCCTTGGGGAGGCCTTTTCCTTTCTTGTGGATGAGGCGGTGACGCGACAGGCTGGAGCTGTGGTTAAACTCCTTCCCACAGATGTTGCAGGGGTGGATCCGCCGCTTCCCATGCAGCCGCAGGTGACTCCCCAGCATCCTGACGGGAACACAAACACACAGTGACGTCACGACACGAGAAAACTTTATTGATTTAGACAGGAAACCAAACAACAACATACCAGAGCTGACATCACCGCTTCACTGTTTCAGTCACTTTTCGTCCTCTGCCGTCAGGTGTGGACCCAACGCCATGACGGCACCTCTAGATTTTATTCTGTTTTCAAACAGGAGGGGGCGCCGCTGTTACACCCAGCTAAGGTTCAGTTTTAGAAATGCGTATCTTTTTTTTATTGACAGACTCAGGACCAAAACTGTTGCTGAGGTTCAGACTCGAGTCAGGCCTGATTTTTTTAGCTTAATCAAAGCTCCAATAAAAACAGGTGTGATTCATTCAGCTGCACGTCTCAGGGTTCACACATCTTCACAGATACAATTTCAAAACTTTCCCATGACGTCTCAAGGACCAACAGTCAAAGAAAATGTTTTCTTGACAGACCTGTGTTACCGCCGTTTCTTAACAATACCAGATTCAAACTGTTCAGACATATTTCTGTCTGACTGGAAATCATGAAGAGAGAGACGGGGCGTCAGGAGACATTGACGAGACGTTCGAGACAGTTAACAAAACGCTGTCACATGTCGATGCGTGTTAGAGTGACGCCATGTTGACGGCTACAAAAATACAATTGTTGCTAGACTACATTATGTTGATGGCTACCCACCTGGTTACTGAAATAATTTTATCACACACAAAGAAATTCCAGGACTTGTCCATGTTTACCATGACTGAGAGAACCCTGATGTGTTCACTGGATCAGTTTATTAGGGACGGATATTGATTAGATTTTATGGATCTACGGTCACAGATACTGACGCCAGCAGGGTCGTCTTTAGGCAAACGGCAAAATCCAGTTCATCATATTTCCACATGTATTGTGTATCTACTGTGTGTTAAGGCCAGAGCTTCACATTAAAGTCACACGTTTCAGTCATATAGGTCTGGATTTATTCTGACGAGGTGCAGCTCCTGATACAGTTTCACTTTTGGTTTTTTTCTGCAACTAAGCGACCAATGAAATCTTGCCGACTAATGATCTTTCTGGTCAACTAAGGTTGGGTGGAATATTAGCGGGCAGCCATTGTTAAACCTTATTTTCTTGTTTTGAAAAGCAGAGGAAGTCGTGTGTGTGTGTGTGTGTGTGTGTGTGTGTCTGTGTGTGTGCTGGTTGGAGAAAACTCAAATGAACGTTTTTATTTTGAGCAAAACAAAAAATAAAAACAAAACATCAACATGTTTCAAGAAAATCACCAACACTGAAGAAACAGTGTTAAATTCATTTAATATCACCTGATTCATTCATGTGTTCATCATGTATTTGTTCAGTTTTGAGGCCACTTGAATCAAATATTGAGTGAAGAGCACATGATTGTCAGCTCGCAGTTTCACAGTCAAACCCAATATTTGTCGTTTAAAGACGGTTCAGTGGATGATGAAATGTTTAAATCCACCATTTTGAAAAAGGGCAATGTTGTTTTTTCCTCGCCAAAATTTAGCTGAACTTTGGAGCATCATTTGGTATCACTGGATACTTCGCAATTAGTTTTTAATTTAAAAATCAGAACAAACCAAAATTTAACCATTTTCTCCTTTTAAACCAAAAACCAAAACAAAGCTGTTTTGTTTATGCTACAGAATCAAAAGAAACAAAAAACAATCCAAAGTGCTCTGTTTTTGGTTTAAGATGAAAAAGTGATGTCACCAGGGCCCTCAACAAACTCTGAGCCTGATCCTGATCTCTGGGCTGACTGAGAGGCCGTTTACACGTTGCCGGCTATTTTCATAAACGAACATTTCACCGTCTCCGTTTTCAAAAAGATCTTCGTTTACACTTACCCGTGTATATATACACAAGAGCATGCCAAACCTGTAGGTGCCAGTGTAACGAGAAGCTCAAGCCTTCCATGTATCCATTGTCACCATAGCAACATAGGTCGCACTTTTTACACAGGCGCAAGTTCCGGCGCATACTGTGACGTAGGCTGCCTATAACTCCGTTTATCTGCGTTTATCTCAGTTTACATGCAAACGCGCAACTGGAGTTTTCCAAAATCTCCACTCTGGCCGGAGTTTTTAGAAAGACTCGTTTTCAAAGGAGAAATCTCCGTTTGCGTGTAAACAAAGGGCACAAACGAAGGAAGATGTCTCCGTTTATCAAAATCACCGTGTACGTGTAAACGGCCTCTGAGCCTGAGCTGAGAAACAGAACAGCTGATCAGAATCAGTTCAATCAACTCTGAGTATGTTCAGCCTGAGAGAGGCACGTTCACAGAGAGCACCAACAGACATCATCAGTAGAGTGCAGATAACATGATATTCAGTGGCAGAAAGCAGAAAGCTGCTTGTTTCATCCCAGCTGAGTCTGAGATTTTAATGACCGCAAAATGAAAACAAAACAAAAACTAACACGTCAGCTGCAGCTAAACAGCGTGAGGTGTGATGGGAACAGACTGCAGAGTGTGTTAGTAGGTAATGTGAGGTGATGTGATGTGTTAATGTGTTTAATATACAGAAAATACAGCAACATTACACAGAGTTCATATATGTTAATATAATTTGCTGTATCATCTTATTCAGCTGTCATGTGATGGAGCCCAAACACACTGGGCACAAACTCAACATCAAACACGCAGATATTAAACAGACTGGTAAAAGTTTTGTTTCTACTGAATTCATTCTGTCAATATTAGGCTGAGGTTCATTTAACTGCTGTGAAACGACTTCATGTAATCTCCTTTATTCTCACATGGAGCTATTATGGGATGTTGAGTCCCATCAATGAGCCAGTTACACCGCGGAGTCTTTGAATATATGAAAAGTATTCATGAATCACTGCATCATGTGTCCACGTAGATTCATTTCTCATCAACACTGACAAACCTGCAGTTCTGTGGAATTCCTCTTTTTTAAGAGTTTTTTCGGGGCTTTTGTTTCTTTTAATGGCAAAACAGCATAATGTTGAGGGAGAGAGGGAACGACGCGCAGCAAGAGGCTGCAGGCTGGGTTTGAACCCGCGGCCGCTGCATCAGGCGCTGGGCGTCTGATCACGGGGCGTCCGCTCCATCCACTGAGCCACCGATGCTCCGTGGTAATTACTTTAATAATGGATTGTGATTTATGTCCAGGGAAAACCACAACAAGGGTCCAAAGTCTTTTCAGAGCCAGAGACACTTTTCTTACGGGCCGACAAACCGCTGTCTCTCTGATGTGTTCAGTGTCTCTGATGTTATAAAGAAAAGAATCAAAGGACAATGCATAAAATGTGCTGTGATGATAATGTAAATCCAGGATGTGTAATATGTGATATATGTGGGTGGAACAGATTGTTAGATAAATGATAGAGTGTGAGGTCAAACAGTATCTTTCATATAGACACTCCTCCAGGGAGACATCCAAACAGGCTCTAATCACCTTCTCCTTACACAACAGCCTCTGAATACACTGGGCCTCAACCTCCACCACTTCATTCACTAAAGGACACGCCATGTTTCTACTTCCTGCTACACGCTCAGCCTCAGGCTGACATGAAGCAAACCTGTGACTCAGCAGGTTAGCTTCACAGAGTATGTTGCCATAGTAACTGACTCAGGGTTACACTGAACTGGCTTTGTGATAAGAAAAACTCAGAGTTTCATCGCAGGCTCAATAAACTCAGAGTGTCACTGATGATGTTTGACTTTTTGTTGCCAAACTAAAAAATAAAAAGCACGTTTTGTTTTTTGCTGATTCCTTTTTGCCATTTCTCATCTGGCACAGACACGGTGGACAGACAGGAAGAGGAAGTGAAGTGTCAACTGCCTCTCTGTACACCGTGCTCACGTGAGACATGGGCACCGCCTTCATGCGTGTTCACGTGCTTTCGCTGGTCCCGCGCAAGCGCACAAATGTGAGGGCGGTGCCCAGAGAGGCAGTCAGAGCTACAGGCTACAATGAGGCTAAAAACAGAGTTCAAATGACGTTTTTCCAAACAATTTTTTATGTCGGGGCTTCAGGACACTTGGATCACTACGGACGAGCAGTATGGAGATATTTTGTGGTTTCAATGATGTGTTTTTGGACGTTTGAATCTGGGGCGCCGTCAGCCTCCATTAGGTGGAGTTGTGTTGCTACCTCCTCTCCCCTTGGATCTCTGCAAGTGATGTGAGGACTCTAAAACTTCACCTGAGCCTCCCTCGACATATGGGTGAGTAGATAATGGCTGAATTTTCATTTTTGGGTGCACTATCCCTTTAAAACATGTTTAAACCTAAAATTCACTGATATCTGTCGCTCAGACTGCACATTATACTGACGCATTTCCAAACGCTCGCCACCGACACAAAGAGGATGGAGGGGGAGCGAGAGAGCGGCAGCGCTGACCGACTCTGAACAGATTCTGTGACTGCGTTGTGTTTTCAGACACATTTTATCTCTGTTTAACTGTTGTTTGTCACCAGCTGGCCGCCATATTGTTTTCTGTGTTCAACTCATATTACATCACCATCTGGAGAGAGTGTTTATAGGTCGGTGAGGCGCAGTGCATTCTGGTAGTTGTAAGTTTTCTGTGCTGAGAGTGGTTTAATAATCAGGAAGCAAAGGAGAGACGAGGAGACTGTGAGTACCTGCTGCCTTTGAAGCTCATCCCGCAGTGGGGACAGGTGTAGCGCGCCTCCTGGTGCGTGGGCTCCAGCGCCCGTTTGGCGGGTGGCGGCGTCCCCGTGTGCGTCTGCTGGTGGCGGTACAGGCTGGAAGCGTGGCTGTAACACTTTCCGCAGTAGCTGCAGCGGTACTGCCGCTCATCCGCCTCCAAGTCGGCCTGGTCCGAGTCCACCTCACCGTCCAGCTGGCTGCTCCCTGCCTCCACCAGCACCTCCTGCTCCTCCTCGCCATCCTCCTCGTCCTCATCAGAGTCCGTCTTTATCTCCACGCTCTGCTCCGTCACCTCGCAGGGGTACACCTCCTCATAGGGAGCGAAGAAGGCCTCGTCCGTCTCGATCTTCAGCTGGTCGGCCGTCAGGTCTGTCGGGTCGTCCGAGTCCTTCTTCACGCAGGAGATGGTGAACTTGGAGCCGACCTCCGCCCACTTCACCACGTACTCGATGGGCTGCGTGTCCAGCTCCACCGTGATGAAGTCTGCGCCCAGGGCGTCTGACTCCGACACCGCCAGCTCCGTCTCCGAGTCCTCCATCCTGAACCGAGATTGGGGCGAGGAAGAGGAACAGGAGCAGCTACAGCCCTGAGGAGGAGGAGGAGGAGGAGGAGGAGGAGGAGGAGGAGGAGGAGGAAAGAAGATTATAAAAGTTATATTATTATTATTTTAATATCAGTAGAAAAATTATAAACTGGATTATTATTCTGTTCATAAAATAACAATAATAATGAGTGTGTGTGTGTGTGTGTGTGTGTGCATATATACACAGTCATTATTATTGTTATTTAAAAAATAAAATAACAATAATAATGAGTGTGTGTGCGTGTGTGTGTGTGTGTGTGTGTGTGTGTGCATATATACACAGTCATTATTATTGTTATTTTATTGGATCGTTACACAACATCAGAAAATAACTGAATTATACACATCATATATGTTCATAGTTTAAACTGACTATAATTAAATTTGTTAACAGTAAAAAGAATAAAGTTACATCATTATTATAATTTATTTATATTGGATCATAAAACATTAGAAACATTAGAAACATTATAGGAACATATGATGAGTGTTATTATTATCATACTGCCAGTACTACACTATAATAATAGTTATGGTATATAATATTTCATATAAGTTATATTATCATTACACTGAATGCTGATATAACTAATAATAATAATAATAACAATAATATTAATAATAATAACAATAACAATGACAATAATAATAATAATAATAATAACGATAATAATAATAATAACAATAATAATAATAATAACAGCATGTGAGAAATCTGTTTGACATTAAAACTAAAACATATTTAAATATTGATTTTATCATATTTGTAAATATTGATATTGTTTATTTTCAGTTCAATAAACGAGGTGAATAAATAATGATTGTTTTTAGTATTGATTAATCAGATTATTGTTGTTTTGACAAACACTGGAACTATTGATCAGTCATCAGAAGAATCAGCTCATGGATCAGTTTATTGATTCATAAACAGATCAGAAATTGATCTGCGTCTGTTCACACTGAGCTGACCATAACGTCTCTGACCATTGATCAATCAGCTGATCATCAATATTAACAATCAATATTCAATGCTTCTGTTAACCCTATGGTTCCCTTCAGACACCACACACACACTCATGACGTCACTCATTCACAAGGACAGAACTGTGCCTCCTACTCCTCCTCTCATCTTCTTCATCATCATCATCTTCATCCTCTCATCAGCATCATCCTCTCATCATCACCATCATCATCCTCTCATCATCACCATCATCACCATCATCATCATTACCATCACCATCATCATCCTCTCATCATCACCATCATCATCATCACCATCATCATCACCATCATCATCATCATCACCACCATCATCACCATCATCATCATCACCATCATCATCACCATCATCATCATCATCACCATCATCACCATCAACATCATCACCACCATCATCATCATCATCACCATCATCACCACCATCATCATCATCATCATCACCATCATCACCATCATCA